CCCCAAAACCCCAAAACCCCAAAACCCCGCGTTGAGATTATTGTAAAAATAACTAAAAAAAAATGAAATTTGCAAATAATTCAAGGTTTAAATGAATAACTTGAAAAATGCAATTTATTAAATTTATTGTTTAAGTTTTATAACATTGGGGAAATAGAGAATACCTATATTCCATTTCTTAAAGCAAGTTTAAAGGAAACTTTACTTTCTAATAGATGCTAATCTAAAAATTCAATAATATCTTTTCTTCTAAAAAATTTCTTTAATAATATCACTCATCTCAACTTTGAAAAGTGATGGATAAAGCTTTCTAAGGTGCTTTCCATTTATTTTCTCAATTTCAATATCATTATAAAGTTGATACATTAAATCCTATAAGCTACTTTCCTTTTATTCATTCTTTTCAGCTTTATATTCAATATAGTTTAATATGCTGAAAAACTTTTTGATAATTAAGAGATCTTATTTCTTATGGATCCAAAGCTTATTACCATCTATTAAATTGTTTGCTATTATTATATTAAGTGTTTTAATTGAAATAATTTCAAAAGCATATTTAAGAAGTTGCTTGGAAAAAACCTTATCATCTAAATTAGGAGCAAGAGAACTATATTATAATAGCATGCATTAGAAATCAATAAACTTAGCTACTTCATGAATAATTGAAAGTTCTATGTCTGAAAAATGATACATATATACCGTATTATAAAACTCTGATTAAACATCATCACAGATGCAAGGCATCATTATTTTGAAATCTAAAGTATGGAGGATTTCAACCTCCTTGACTATTATTTACTACTTAGTATATTTCATATGACCAGCTCTCATAACTAATTCATCAATATCAATAGCAGATACATCTTCAACCTTTGAGCATATAAACATGCAGGTCATACCTACTAATTATAAATCTTCTTTCCTTAATTGATTAGATAACTCATAGTTTCTAATATAATATTTATCCATTATTTAAACAGATAGAATAAAAGTTTTACAAGATTCAACTTTGAGAACTCTCAATACTTATATAATCCAGTTAACCATGTTTTAGCGATTAGACAAGCTTAACCCATGATATAAATATGCTTAAAGTACTGAATCCTATTTTTATTTAAAATGTATATCTTCATGAACTATTTTATAATCTATTTATCTGATATTGTCTACATCTTATCTATCTTTTTATAACTATTTTTAGAGTTCCGCTTATTTATTTTAATTCCTAATTTAAAGTGCAAAATTATATTGAGACTTATTCTATTTTTGCTAAATTTGAATAGCAAAATCCTCATTTTGAAATTAATCCTGATATTTATTTTGACTATCATCGATTTCTACAGCCTAATTTTGAGTAAAAAAGATCTATTCAGGAGATTTTGACATTGAATCGACCACTTCACTGATCCTCATTATTTATTTCAACTTAGGATCTAATTATTTTTATATAATACCTAGTTTGTTTTCACATTAATATCTTATTATATTATTTGCATTAGCTAACTCTCCTGATGCATTTAAACGCAGAGTTGCTTAAGAATTACCTATCTAAGGCTTGCTTTCTTCTATCTACTCTCTCTCTAGATAATATTTATCAATTACTTTTCCCATGTTAGGTGTCTTGTCAAATGCATAACTACTCTTTATTTATCTTTTTATATCATTTTCAATTTTTTAGGGGATACTAAAATCTTTGATAGTTGGATTGTCAAAGTAAAGATAAAATGTATCATTTATCTATTATTTCTTATTTATAAACGTATTCTTTGTTGTTTGCATGTAAATGTTTATTACAATTATTTTAGCTATTTTATAAAATCTGAATTTAATTTAATTTAGCTAATACTTTTTGAATTATTAGTAATTAATCCCAAATCAATTTTATCTATAGTTTTCAATGCTATCTAATGAAAGTAAATATTCCTACACTGCTTGATTATTTCGCCTTAAAATTATTGTACGGGGTTTTGGGGTTTTGGGG